GTAACGTAACGTTAAACTAAACAACGAACTAACTAAGTAAGGTAAAGGTTAAGTTTACGTTAGTATAGTAGAACGTAACTAATATACTATATACTACCTCTCTCTCTCTCTCTCTCTCTCTCTCTCTCTCTCTCTCCACACACACACACACATATGGGGAGAGATTTTATGCAACAATTGTATAGCAATATAATAAAATGCACCTTCAAAAACCATATTACGGGAATTTGTTTACTCTTTTCATTCGGATGAAAAGGGTAGGCACTAACCATATAAAAACATCTATATATAAATATGTAGGTAACCCTAACTCACCAAAGGTACCGTCTTGCAATATAAGAATTGAGGAGCATCTTAATGATTTTACTATGAATTTACCTGCAAAACCTTCCGCTCTTCCAGCCATTGCTTCACAGGCATGACCTTGTCATTATCATCCTTCCACTCATTCGCTACCACAGTAGCAACTCGATTTGCTAAAATCTTAACCCTCGCGAGTTCCCTCTCAAGTGTCCTCCTCTCTTCCTGAAATTTTTTGAAAAGCATTCAAAGTACAAAGCTCAGAAACAAACATTAAACAACTATAGTTTAATAGTATAGAAGAAGACTAGAAGCTAAGCAATTCAATAGAATAGACTATGAATATCCAGCATAGGTTTCACATAAATACTGAGTTGACTATCCATAGGTTTCATAAAAGAACTATAGTTTATTTTTTCTTTTTTAATAAATAAACCAAATGGAGAATTTTCTAGATAACCAACCAAGGGGAATTTTTCTTCCTTTTTGGTAATTAACCAAATGGAGAAATTCCCAATATGTAAGCCACATCTAAAATATGAATTAAAATGATAATGGGCTAAGAACTAACATTCATTTCAAGAATCTGGCGCTGGTAATCGCGTACAGCATTCGCAGCTGCACCACCTGCAAGAATAGATTCCTCCAATTCATGTATGGTTTGGCTAAGCTTTTCAACTTCTGCAACCTTCTGACGGTTGGCTTTATCTAGAATTCTATTCTCTTCCTGCTAAAGACTTGAAATCTTTGTCAATGAGCAAATAAATTATTGTTTTCATTTTTCTTCTAACTGTTATTTGAACTGCCTTTCCTAAGCTTGTTAATTTTCTTTCATTTTCTTGTCTTTTATATTTGGCTTTACATGGAATGTATGATCATCGGTTTTATCCTTACTTCAGACCTCCAAATTTTCAGACAAAGCACGTAAAATTAATTTAACATACCTGGACATATACTATAATTTAATGGTTTGTGAGAAACTATGGACCATCAGATAATCACCACCCACTGAAATCATGGACATTGTTGCAGTGAGAGGGAGGTGGGACCCCGCCATTGGGGACATGTCCAGTTCTGGTGGGTCCCACTCTAACAATCACCACTTATCTATTCATTGGATGGAGATGACCTTATGGACTATGGTTCTCCATAATCCATTTGATTGTAGCATGCTTTTATTTAATGTATCCCACAAGTTTCAATGATTTACCCTAAAACAAAGAAGCAAACCAAAGCAAATCCATGCCTGGCAAATATCAATCTGTCTCTTCAACTCCAAATTCTGGTTTTGAAGATCTTCCACCAACAATGCTCTCTCTATTGCAATTTTCAGCATCCTCTCAGTCTCTAGTAATGCCAACTCCTTTGATTTGGTAAGGCGCTCTAAAGCCTTCTTATCTTCTTGGAGTACTGAAATCTGCTAAAATAATGATGTTAACTATTTTGGATCGCATACGAAAGGTGTGGACTGAGTATCTCTCTCTCTCTCTCTCTCTCTCTCTCTCTCTCACACACACACACACACACACACACACACACACACACACACACACACACACACACACACACACACACACACACACACACACACACACACACACACACACACTACACTACGTCGTACGTACGTACCGTACGTACCGTACGTACGTACGTACTACGTACGTACGTACCTACGTACCGTACGTAACGTACGT